CATGCGCCGGCGCGGAGCGCGGCCTCCCGGCGGCCATGTTCCATGCGGGCAGGAGCGCGGGCAGGAGCGCGGCGGGCGAGCGGCAACGAGCGGCTCCGGAGCGCTAGCCCTTGCCCTAGAGCAGGATCCGCGTGCGGCTCGGGGAGTGAGGAAACGCCTGCCCCCACAGCTGCCGCGGCCGACTGCTCCACCACCTTCACTGCTCCAGCCTCAAAAGACACAGCACCTATCTCTGAACATGTTTTTCTTACTTTTCCCTTAGTAAAGATGACATAGCAGGTCCCACACCACTATGTATTGGTCAGATAAAGAGAGGACCAAAGTATGACACTTTAAGTACTAAAAAAAAAACAATCCGAGAGAGGAAAAAACACCCCAAACCCTCATTTTACTTCCAAAACCACCCAGGATGTCACTGAACAAACCAGATGCCCTAAAGGCAGCACCTAGCCTAGGCACCCCAGCCACAGCTTCATTTTTCAAGGCAACAAAACCAATGTAAGAACCCACACCCTCCAAAACTCTGTTCTTTCGACCCAAGGCATTGAGGATTGTAATAAATACTGAGCAGTATCTGTCAGTGGGATTACTTGAGAATAGCAACATAAATAATCCTGATGAGCAGGGAAGCCTTAAGCAAAAAATTGTCAAAGAGGGCTAGCAGTCATACAGAAGATGCTGATCAGCACATGGAGGTGCTGAAATTGAATTTCAAATGTTTTTTTTCAGCAGCTCATCAGTTTGGTATCCATTTTGCTAGCACCATTCTTTACACAAGGTTCTTTCAGGTGATCAAACAGCAGAAAAAGGAGCTTGCTTTTACGTAGAGCATGAGCTAAGGGCATGTATATGGACATGGGTGTGCAAAACCCTTCTGGACACCTCAGAAATATCACAATATTTAAAAGGCAGATTTCTTTGAGCAAGACTTTTTATTTCTCTTCGGGCTTTCAAAGGAGCACCATAATTAATACAAAACAGCACTTCAATTCCAGCCCTAACAGCAGCCTGTTGAACTCATCTGGGTTATTTCTTCCTCAGGTTCTAACTCCCAAGCTAGAAACTTATAACAGAAGGTGTGACTCCAAGTGACACAGTATGGAAAAAACAAGCTCTCCTTCAGCCTTCCTCCATACAGAGTAACTAGAAAGAAATCACACCGGCCCCTTGCTTGTCCTGTGCAAAAATAAATTTGACTCGTAGATCTACTTTAAACCATACAAACTGTATGGTGTGTCATTGCTGAGTCGTGCCTCACTGTACTCTGGAGACTTCGCCTCTGTATACTACTGTTAGCTCCAAGCAACTCTAAATGAAGAAGGTGAATGCTCCTGACAATACAGAAATTCTCATTTGGACTTTTCCAAATAAACCTTCATGGGCAGTGACCCACTTTGAATCAAGATACCATCTCCTAGAACAAAGCCACTTGTCCTGAAATAATCCTTCCTCTGGAGCTGGTTTTCATCAGTGAAACTCGGCTAAAACTTCAAGTGAAGAGTCTTATTCTTGACCTAACACACACCATGGATGTATGGTCTGAAATGACTTGTGTAGATCAAGGAAGGAGCCATAGGAACAGCAGCTCTGGGAGCACTCAAGGAACAGAACAGACCTTGCTGCACCAACCCAACTGTAAGAATTACTTTTAATAGATGCTGCAGCGTGATACATTTACCCCGTTTACCGGGCAAGTAGAGGAGTTCAGTGTGGAGGCGACTCAATGTGCCAAAAGGCTGTTTTCTCAGATGCTTTTTGTTGAAACACCTTCCACAGAAGGAAAATGGAAACTCTTAGCATCCGTTTACATCTGATGTATGCTTTCTCAAAAAAATCCAACACACATTTTGAAAAAGCTCTCTGATAATGCCCAAGTTTTTTATAATGTACTTAAATTACACAAGTAGAAAAGTTATGCTTATTAATAGTTTAATGTATGAAGGAAACATCCAGATTTCTGAATATGAAGGTACATATCTCACATTAATTTAAGTCTACATAAAGTAGAGCCTCTATACTGACATATTGAAATTTACTTTCTGCTTAGCCATTTGTTATGTAAACAATTGTACATTTATTTGCCATTCTAAAACTTCAGGATCAAGTTTACATAATTTTGCTAAATTTCTGTGTTTGCTCAGAAGCAGTTTACAGTACTAAAACCAACCAGCCAAAGAACAGCTTCAACAGAAAGTTATGTCAAAAAAAAAAAAAAAAAGGAAAATAAAGAATAAAGGCTAACTAAGTTGAAACGTATGATGGTGGGGAATGGGCGGTCACAATGTTCACAGAAAAAGGTCAGTTAGTAAGTTCTTCTGCAAAAAGCCTACACACTTCAGTCAAGCACATCAGTAGAATGATCTGGGAGCACATAAACTGTTTCTGCCATTTGTGTTTTCCTCTGCAAAAAAAGGAATCTCAAGGCTAGCAAGTTGATCCCACTCAGCCAAGCTGGTTCATATGCACACTGTTCATGTGAGGTGTCCAAGTTCCAGTCCACACCTGAAAGAGAAAGTTTCATTTAACACCATGCTTTTGGGGCTGCTCAAAACAGTTCAGAAGTCAAAATTACACCACAGTGCTTACGGTGCACCCAAGTAAAGCTCAACATCAGACAACATGGCAATCCATCCTCAAACTACACTGTCCCCTCCAGCACTTGTTTTACTGTGCTGTAATTCAGGTGAGAAAAGGAGGGAAATGGGGTTTTAATCTTTCTGCCTGTACTTTTTCCACCTTGGCTAAAGGGTCAATCTTCCTCTACCTTTCTACTTAGTGAACAAAAAAAAGTATTTTTACCCAGTCTGACTACCTTCCTTCACAGCTAAATCAATGCTATTTATGCCCACTATAACAACACTGATGTAATATATATTCTACTGTTCTGCAGGAAAAATATTTCCCTTTAGACCCAGGGAAACAAGTACTCCCTCTAAACACGCCAGGCCTGCTGTCAAGGAGAATTAAGAGGACTCTATGTGTGCAAAATCATCTGCAAGGACAGTGTCTGAAGACCTCCAGCTTCCAGAGGAAGAGACTGTCCTTCCTCTCTACCTCAGGAAGTTCAGACAATCAAGAACTTTATTTCTGGCACCTTGAATTATTTTCCCCCAACACATACAAATTCCTCCAGCTCTGGGGAAATCCAAGTATAACAAAGTAAAACCTTCTTAAGGGGACAAAGTTTTCCCACTAAACCAGAAGTTGCTTCAGAATGGTCATGAGCCACTTCAGAGCAATACATGAACTGTGGTCAAACTGCAGACCACCTCTTCTTGCACACCTACAGTCTGCCAGAGCTGTGAGCTACTGTTTGCAGCCTGGATGATTCCCAAGCAAATTAAATCCAAAATACCTTTATTTTGCAACCATGCAACAGAGTTAGCTGCATAATTAAAAATAAACACAGAATATAACAAGAGCTACCAATGATCCATTATCATATCAGTTGCTGGCTGAGTACAAACAAGGGGTTTAGGGGAGCATAATCCCTACGCCTAAACTATATTTAGTGAACAAGCCTGTAACCCAAGCAAGATCAGAGCAGCAGACAGAAAAGCTACTACCTCACTTCCTACACAAACTCCTAATACAGTGAAGACATCATGCCTTCCACAGCCCAGCAATCACTCTCTAGACCCAATGCTGTTTTCCCCTTTTTGGGGAAGGAAAAGCTTACGTGACAGGAGATAAATGGCTTTTCTCACAAAAGCAAATTGTTTGTGTTTTCCCAAATGCAGAACTGCATAGACAGAAATGATGATCATTTTGAGTAAGATATACAGTGTAGAACTATCTTTTCTATCCAGACTTGCCTTTAACACATCACCAAAAGAGTTATTCTACAGTAAGTAACAAGGTGTCTACTCTGATTAAATAGGTGGCTTCTTTAAGCTCAGCTAAAAGCAAGCTTCCCAATTCTCAGTCACAAATACTTTCACAGAAGTTAGCAGCAGCACACTCCTTTGAACTGCATTAACTTAGTGATGCTCATTTTTTCTCAGGACAACTTACACTTATTTCTGAGAGATGACTAATGTTTAGGAGTCGTTAGCAAGCACATACAGCACTCAGTGCTGTGGTGAGTAGAGGGCTGTATTAGCTCCTTAGAGGCATGAGAAAAAAGATACACTACACTTTTTTCATACTTTAACCGCTCGAATCTTATTTTCGCCACAGTTTAAGTTAAAACAAAATGACAAATGTAAAAATTGAAAAATTACCGTCTGAGGCCCATTATTTTCTGTGGAGTTTGAAACCATCTTTATCAGCGAGTTCCAAGATGGGTCAGCAGCATGAGGCCCATTAAATATAGGGCCTCCAGTACCATCTGTGATGGGGGCTACAGGAGGAATCATTGCATTCCCATACACAGAAAAAGGCATACCCTTCAGAGGAAGATAAAGCAAGGATCAGTATGTATATGTAAACACTGCTACTATTGCATATACAGAATAACAAAAGGGGTTTTGTGTTAAAGAAATTCATCTTACAGCAGTAATGAAACACCTGAAGAAAAACCTTTCCATGCATGTATTTAGTACATCACGGACAAGTTATTTATTACATCCAAGCTTTGCAATACTGTGAGGACTAGTTAAGCATTTTAACTTATGCATGCTCAACCACACAGTGAACAAATACCTCAGCGTTGTTCATCTGCCTCATGCACTGACAGGGAAATCGAGTGGTACCGCGTGTATTGAGTCCCAAGAAGGTCATTACCCCAACTTTTGGGAAGTCCATGTATCCTGCAGGAACAGGCTGATGGAATGTACCGGAAGGCGTTACGATTCCCGTGCTGTCTCTCTCCATGGCTTGGTGCGAGAACACCCCTGGGTCAGACATGGGCCTGTGGATCATGTGGCTCCCCATTCCGCTGTGACACCAGTCCACTTTATCTAACACCACAGAAGACATAGCAACAGCATTATACATCACAAC